AAAATCATGTTTTAAAAAGAAGTCAGCACAAAAATGAACCCAACAAAGGTATAATTATTTTGCAGATGTTATTCAAGACATATTCATTAAAAGATGCTTGTTTTTTTCTATGCACTTGGATGGTGTGGACAATTTCAAAAATGTGTATTAGGATCTCTCTATTTTTCTTTTTTTCCATTTCCTTTTTTGAGTGCTTTACATATGGCTGCTCTTGTGCCAGAATAATTAAAGTTTTTTAATAGTAATGTGTGGAGTGTTAATAGCCACAAAAAAAAAGAATTTTAATAAATATCGCTAGCTTGTTATGGCTTTTATAACCAGCTTTACATGGAATTTAATTCCTGGGTATCATGAACATATGTCCCTGATGTCACATATTTATTTCAGTCAAGTCTTACATGTTTGCAGATACGCAGCACTATTCCAAGGAGTTTGAGACCAGTACTGAGTGTGTGTGATCAGTGTCCATTTGCATTGCTCGATTGAAGTTCGACACATTGAGAGTGCTCAGACGAAAGAGGCTAAACGGCATCTGATGAGAACACAGACTGTATATAAAAGCTGGACGTAGCCGCAGTGACCTCACCCCTAAGTTATGACCATCAAGGATTTTCGTGTTTAAAACGAGAGGTGGTGCGTAATAAACATAAACATGAATTTGACTCTTAATAAACACAACTTACAAAATGAACATCAGACTGTATGAATGTAGACTTGAAACTAGTGACTGAGCCCATAAAGTTCACCAGGAACATGTTTAGTGAGATTGTAGATCATGGGAGAAGTAGGGGGATTTTCATGCAAAGATTCTATGCAACTGGATTTCTGCTACACTGACAGTAGCTGCCCCCTGCTGGATATATAAGAGAATGCAGGTTTAAGGCACGTTCACATTGTCACTGTTAAGACCTGAAAACTATGTCCATGTTTTTTATACAGTCTGCAGTTGAGAATCACCTCAAAGTGTGGTTAAAGGATTTGCTCTCAAGTCCCCGCCCATTTAAAAACATCTCCAGATGCTCAAAAATATCATAAAGTTGATTTAAGCTCTACTTTATCACATTTTTGAGTGCTTGACGTCACGTAAACTGTGATTACATTTCACTGAAAAAGATGAGTCACTGGACTCAACTCAAACTAAAGGAGGTGAAGTGGTTCAGGACAGAAAGGCGGGGGCTAAATAAACACACATGCTGCCTGTGCTGATGCATCTTCACAGATTATCTTAAATCATCTTTATCTTGAATTACCCGCTGTAATTCAAGATAAAGAGTGAGCTCCAAAACACAACTCGACTGACAAACATGTATTAGTGCTTAATCTCACGCCTCAGAATTGGAATTTTATCTCATCTTTCCTCTTATTCTAAGGTTGAGAGGATAAGTTATCTCCTTATGGGAACAGATTTCAGTAACTTGTATCTAATGAGACAAAGAAAAGACTATTGCGAGTGGTAACATTTTTCTCTGGGTTAGTTCACAAAGCTGCAGAGCAGTGATTAGAGCAACAACGCAAAACACAAACCTGTCCTAAATTCTGTCTGAACTATATGTGCAACAGCATATCAGAAAGACTGATAACAAGAGAATTTCCAGAGTAACCCAAGAGGGGTGTGCTACGGCGCAAGATTAATGTGTTAGCGAGGTAAGCCAGTGTTTTTAGGCTCCCCTTTAACCTGGACAAGGAACGGTTTCCCATTGACGACTATAGGATGAGAAATCTTTTTATGCAACCACAGTCGTGGCCCCCTGGTGGCCGTTAAAAACAATCCCAGTTTAAGGCACTTAAGTGTAGGCTTCAGTTGTTAGTCCTACAAGCCATGTCCATATTTTATATGATATGGTGAGTGTGCACAGAGCCTGGTTTAACAAAGACATTTAATAAAAATAACCAAGGTTGTGACTAGGGTTCTAGGTTTAGGGGACTAAATAATGCAATAACTAAATGTCTGGCTGTGCTTTGAAGCACACTCCTATGATGCAACCATACAGATATTTATACTTTGCCTTTAATTGGCATATTGAACCATTAATGGGAGGGGATGGGCTTTAGTAGTTTGTATACTGTCGATCAGGGGTCCTTTTTGCAGTTCTCTGAGGGCACCTTAAAGCACTTTACAGTGTAATAACATGTGGTCCCTTTAATGTCGGACAATGGTCAGTGCTCAAAGTCTCAAAGACATTAATAAAGAGGACAAATTGAAGACACGGAGCAAGCAAACAAGCTTACTTCAGCAAGAATGGCATAACAGGAGATGCCATAATTAAAACTGTCAGCAGAGCACCCTCAAGTCCGACGACACCAACCTTAACGGCCGAGATGAGCGCCGCAGAATGCTAAATGGACACTAAAATGAAACTGTGTAGGCAAATTTTAATCTTTTGATATTTACTCTAGAAATATTAAGAGCCCGTGGGGACGGGGCGGTCAAGGCGACAGCTAGCAACACATTTTAAAGAGACAACACAAACACAGGTGATTGCAGCACTGCAGATTGTACCTTTTGACAATACTCATGGCTGGTGCTGTTGGATATCAGCAAAAAGCAGAAATCAGACACGAAACTGATGAGGTCTATGTCTATTGTATTGCACATACAGAGACAAACGCTTGTTCAAGTTTGCATACGATAGTTACAAAACATATCCCTTTAGGAACCACAGGTAAAAGGTGAAGGAAGAAAGAAAAACATCCTTAAAACACACACAAGTTAATGAACCACAAGGCTGAAAAGTGGCTAGACAAAGAGAGAAGGATCATCATCTCTCTGCTGTGGCTCAGGTCAGTTTCATTACCTCCACGATGCTGATGATGCAGGATATTTGTGCGACAGGAGCGGAGAATGAAAACAAAGCTCGTCCAGCTGTGGACGTTTGTGACAGTGAACCAGCTGATGCGTTATTCTGCAACGTGACCTGGAACTGATGCACAGAGTGCTCTTGTATCTTTGGCTTTCCTCCTTTGTGTGCAGAAACAGGACAACAGAAAAAAAAAAGTAGCTTAAATGCACTTTGAGTTTGAAATGAGTCACTGAAGAAAAGAAAAAAAAATCAGCTGGGGTGTGCTACGCAGTGACATAAATGTCATGATCAGGATTATGGCTTTTATTTTTCCTCCCATACAAACAGACTCTTGTGCAAACACACTGCTCAGGAAAGCAGTCTCATATCTCTGATTGCAAATACAAGAAAGGGTGATTGTGATAATAAAGCACGGTGTTTTTCACACCGAGTGATCCATGGATATTATTCAGGCAAAATCATCTTCACTGAGCTCCAGTGTGAACACAGCCACAGAGATTTAAAGTGGATTCAGATGGTCCAGCATGAGGGGGATGAATGTGGGGCTGTTTTGTTTGTAGCTCATCAATCTGGGAGTCCAGCCTCTGGGGACAACATCTAATTTTTCAGGGATTCCAGCATCAGCCAAGCTTATTTTGTGCACTGGTCATCACTTATGAATACTGTTAAATTTAAAAAGTTCCCAGATGATAGCTAATGCTCTCCACGGGTACATACAAACAAAGGCTGCTTAAAGTGAGCGAAGTCGAGTGAACTCTGGACTGCTAGCAGCTATAAATAAAAAGTGAAAATGTTCCACTGCCAAAGATCTTGCAGCTCGTCTGCAGATTTACATACAGATATCAGATCTCACTCGTTTGTTTCCTCTGGTGACCGCTGCGGCTGGCGACAAACCTGATGGCTCTCTTCCCTCCAAACAATTATTGTTGCTCTTCAAGAGCCGGTTAGAGTCGGGGCATGAACACTAACAGATGTGCTATGATGTAAAGCAAACAGGCAGTGCGTGCTCACCGCTCAGTGTGAAACTAAGACAGACAAACAAGCTCGAAAAAACCTCTCCTTGTTCTCTGAATCGACACCAGCTTACAGGAAAGCCACCACAGAAAAAAAACATTCTCGCCTTGAAGCACAGATTTTGGTTGGTTTTATTTTTAGCTTTCCAGTCAGATCTGTGAAAATATGATTAAATTAAAATTTGTTAAAAGAAAACTCCAGCAGTATTAGTACCCCCCTAAAAAAAAAATCCCATAAAGCAGCATGCTGCATTTCCCTTTCCCTGCCTGCTTAAGACCATACCTCGCCTACTGCCATACGCTGAGTTTGCTATATGCAAAATGAATGCTTAATTCCCAAATCCACCTTTTTTAAATCACTCTGTGGGGCCTTCCTGCCACACAGAAGGCCTTAAACAACTGCTTTTACATGAGAAGCAAACTGGACATCGTGTGGAAATCCCTGGGGTGTGCTTGTAAGCAACAGTCATGATATGTAGGGGATCACCAGTATGGCCAGTTTTACTGAAGGGAGAAAAAAAAAGAAAAGAAGAAATCAGCTTGAGCTTTTTGTTTTCACTCGCCGCTCCGTATCATACCTGCTGGTGAAGAGAAAATGCCCTTTTCCCCTCCTTTCTTTCTTTTATTGTTCAACATTACCAGACCACATCGAGAGCAAAAAAAGCTGGATTTACATTCATCCGGTGGTGGAAGGGGAAAAACAAAACAAAACAAGTGACCATAAACAACTGATCTGATCAAATTTAATAAGGCCTGTGCTGCTCCCTCCTGCTGGTCAGGGCGTCACTGCGCAGTCAGCAATGCAGCGGTTAAGACGACACTTTTTTCAAGGGAATTCCGCTTTCCCTTAAATCAATGACGTGATTCACTTAAGCTATGACTTTTAGTCCAGTCTCGACTCTCAATGCATCGTATGGGTCAGCTTCGTAATCTTGTCGCACACCCCCTCCACACACACACACCCACACACAACCATTCTCTTCTGTCCGCAAGACTTACGAAATCTTTTAAAAGAAATAAAGGCAACACTTATAGCTTAGGTCCATCTAAAAGTTCCTGAATCTAAAAAAAAACAAACAAAAAAAAGAAGATATATTAGCCCAACAATAAAATTGCAGGTGATTACCCCCCCCCCCTTTTGTCTTGTAGAAGGCACACAAACTACCACAAAAGTATAGTACTAATCTTTAAATGTGCAAAAAAAAGCCCAGTTGACTTTATTTCCTCAGTAAGGGAAAGGAAAAAGAAGAAGAATATTCAGCACGTTTCTTTTTTACTGCTTTCCTTTCCTGTTTCTGTGGAGGAGAAAGAGAGCAACAGTGCTGAGTTTATAGGTGTCATAGCAGAAATATGCTCTAGAACCAACGCCTCTGCAGTTCCTCTGTTGGCACTGTGTTAGCAGGCTAAAGGGCAAAGGCAGAGTCTGCATGTGCAGCTCTGATGTGCACGTTCTGTGCACTGAGAAAAGGCTTGCACACCAGCGCGAGGAGCTCTGCTTTAATATGCAACGATGACAGGCATCTCTGGTTAGTGTGATGACTGGAACGACTCAGCAGATCCCCCCAAAAAAAACACACACGTGCACACACAGGGACATTTAGAAAAAAGGGGGAAAAAAAGCAGCACTTTTCAGTTTCTTCTTTGTCTGTTTTTGTTTGTTTCACCCTCACAGTTTATTTCTCTTTCAGTAACAGTAGCTTTTGTCAAGAAGAATAAGTTATCCAGCATTGGGAGGCACCTCTGGTCCATCACAGACTGCATCGCTCCTCTGATGGTCCTCGGTTACTCGGGCACAGGTGAGGAGCCGGTGGTTGTCGGCGGTGATGGTTTGGGGGCTTGGAGTGCCTGTGGGTTGACGATGACCTGGATCACAAAGTCCTTCTGGATCTTAGTGTCTTGCAGCCGTGTCTTGTCCGTGAGCAGCTTCCCGGAGAAGAACCAGCGCTGGTGAACGGCGTCGATGTCTTCCTGGACTTGCAGTTGCTTCTTCAGCTGGCCTATGGTGTCAACCATGCTGACGCTGAGACGCAAGTCCTTTCCTGTGGACAGCCGCACCTACAGGGGAGCAGAGAGCAGAAGAGTGAGCTAACAATGCTGCATGGAGAGGTTAGCCAAGTTCCAAATGCAAAGAACTCAAAAACTGGTCCGTGGCTTGTTTTGTGTTGGCATTTTACAGTTTTAACCCCGTAAGAAGTCTTAATAAATGTCAAAAGCTGCATGAATGTTAGTACATAAGCTTCTCTAGCATCTGTTTGCACTTATTAGGCACATATGAGGATATGACTCATAACCACAGGAAGTAAATGTTGGATGAAATCTGTTTTTCTGTCCAAAGGTGAAACCAGCTGCTGATAAACCGGCTCAAACAGCTAGCTAACACAAAAACAGAGTAATGTGTAACTACATCAACTTTCCCAGAGCCTGTCAATCTGCAGCAGTTTAACAATTAATCAGGAGAAGCACAGCCACAACATTAATGATGATTTGACCCAGATGTAGTCACACTCTACTAATATTAAGGTTTTCCATATCAGAACATAATAAAAAATTTCCTAGACTTTAGCAGTTCTTGAAACCTAAGACATGCTGCCTTGTTCTTTTTAGAGAGAAGAGACTTTGTTCAGTCTTTGTCTAGTTGTTCTGTCAAGAACTTTAACAGTTCACTTCAGCATGTTAAATGTTAAAGTAGGGCTGTAGAGTCTGAGAAGTGGGGGAATTTTCTGTTACTTCCACTGCTGGGAAGAATGGTGGCTGACATAATTGTTTTCCACATGAGAGTCATCTTTGTCACTGGAAATGGCCTCATAACCCTTCCCACATAGGTGGAAGCAATCGTTGTTTCTCTTAGGGTGTTTTCATATCTGCAGTGCTTGGTCCATTTAAATTGAACTGGTTCGTTTTCCCCCTTGCGGTTCGTTTGTGCAGGTGTGACCACGGTAATCGCACTTGGGTGCGGACAAAAACAACCACACCACTGCGGAGGAGCTGGTCTTGGTGTGGTTCCAAATGAACTCCAGAAAACTTTCTTTACGGTGCAAATGCTGTAGGCTTGAGCTAAAATCTTCCTGGACCCTTGTATGCTTTGTATTCTGGGATGAGGCAAGGTACTATAGATGTACAAAGGTCTGTACAGACAACTAGTTGTGACGTGATTGCAAATTCTTCATGTTCATGTTCAATAGTCGGGAGCACAGCATCTTCTTCTTGTATTTACTTTAGTTGTTCTCACCTCAGACACATCTGGCCAATCAGCAAACTGAACACTCTCACTTGACTTGCAGTGAAACATTTTGGTTCACTTGGAATTAATATAGATTTTTCTGTGTGCAAAAAGAAACCAAAATACAAGCAAAAGCTACAAGTTTACAAAGTCATCAACTGATTTGGAGCAGACTAAATGAACTGTAGGTACGAATAATGCTGTCATTTCTGTCTGGAACTGTGTCGACACACACCTGAATGCTCCAGAATAGCAAACTACTAAAACTTCTGCTTTTATAGAAGTGCTCACACTTGCTGACCAGCAAACAAATCTATTCAAATTACTAGCACCTGGCTGCTATCTACCCCCTTAATTGTTGTGGAAGCAGTAAGGGTGTACTCAGCATTTCACACACTGTTTCTGCATTTTTTTTTATTGCATGATTAATGGCAGTATAAAAAGTCAATTCTATCAGTTTTTATGACTTGCTCGAGGACTACACCACTTTTTAGCATGTTCTGATATGCAAAACCTTGGAACTGTAGTTTTGGCATGACTGTATGGAGATTTACATATTTAGTTTTTTATGCAAACTTTAAGGAAAACCCCAAAACAAAGACTGAGGCAACCATTGCCTCTTGAGTTACTAATACACCCAACTGAATATTCGTCTAAACTTAATCAGTTACTCTGAATTAATATTAGACCAGTACATCTATTTGATTACATTGAGTACAGTGTTTACAGTGTGGATTAATATGCAGATGACACCATTTAGTCCTAATCAGTTGGTAACGTGACCCGTGTCTTACAGGAGATGTACTAGTCGTGGTACCTTGAGCTGGAATTCCTTCTTGGATGCTGCTGGGGGTTCAGGGCTGTCACTGGGGTCTTCGTCACTACGCTCTGAGATGAGGTTGATGGGTGGTGCCAGGCAGTAGACGGGCAGCTGGTAGCGGTTCCCAAGTTCATCGTAACACTCTGTCAGGGTACCTGAGAAGAGGATGCCACAGAAAAACAGGTCACATTGTAAGTTAAGTCTGGTTTAAGCAGCCTATGTGAGAGTGAGGTGAGAACTGTACTGTATAAGTATACTGTGTGTGTTCTGTCCTCACCGTGTGGCAGTGTGATGCTGGCTCCATCCACTATAGCCTGAGCTAATTCATGGTCGTTACACTCCAAGGCCACAGCGGCTGCTTTCAGAGCATCCCAGATTTCCTTGCGGCCCTCGAAGGCCGGCGCCGTGTCCCAAAACTCATCCCGCTTGCTCCGTAGCTGGCCCTCCGTCATCGGGTAGTCACTCTTCCATTTGGGACGATCTTTTTTCAGAGGCTCGTTACGCCCTGTAAAGGTAGAGGAGTGTATTAATTTAATGCTGAAGTTTCACACTCATAATGCGCAACAAATAAAACAAACACCCCACTAAATTCTAAGGTCAGAGGCAGAATTCTGAAAACATCTAATTTAAGGTAACATTTGAACACAGCATGAGGTCCTCTCATTACAAAACAAGTGTTGATTAATTCACCCACATGTACAATTTATTTCCCTTCTTACTATTGTAAAAATGGAGGAAGAAACAACAGGAATCCAAACACGACAGTCAGTGGAAGTCGTTTTCACAATCCTCATTATCATGTGTGAATGCCGAATGCAGAGAGCAGGCAGCTTGGCTAATGAGGAAAGCCCAGCCTTAACTCTGTTCTTTCATCTCCTCACTGTAATAAACAGAACTGCCAGACAGAAACTCGAGCTGTCATCAGAGAAAGATCGTCCTACCCCACCCTAACATGTCTTCTCAATCTAAAATTAGGAGGTCATTCAGAGTTTGCTGTATCCATGAAGCGTATGCTTACTCTATATCTGTCTATGTAACCTTACCTTCATGTTTCCCACTATTCACTATTAATACAGAGCACACCTAGGCCAGGAGAACACTGACTGATCTGGAGGGAAAGCATAAGGACAACAGGCTAGGATCAGCCACCCATCATTGAAACTTCCAGTGATTTTCCACACCTGTTTGTATCATAGCCGGCATAAAATTCCTCTGACTGAAGCTACGGATGTCCAGAAATAAAATACATGAAGCTATAAATCAACGTAAAAGCTTGACAATAAAACTGAGTACTAAACTTGCCTATAGTTGCTAATGCCTGCGTCACAGCTGCCACACATTGAAGAGTGGACTGATGGAAAATACAGCATACAAAAGGGACACCTCGCATGCAGAGTTGCCTTTCTTCCAGACTAATTATCTATAGTGCAGGAGGCTCAGGACAAGTAATCCTGGTGTAGGATTAGCATTTAAAGGCGAGTGAATCCCAAGTAAAGAAAAGCAGGTTCCTCACTACCACTGAGCAAAAATTAAAAAAAAAAAAAAGGCCTGTGGTGTCCATGAGAGCCAAAAACATTTGAATTGATATCCAATGCAGATTAATTGCTGTGTCCCAAATGTTATGCAGCCATCTGCCATCAGATGGAGGATCATTGTTGAGAAACAGCATGAATGCACCAATCTTGGGACTGATCTTATTATTAACACAAATATTGTTAGTCCTTTTAAAAGGTATAAGCACGAAATCGTGGATACAAGCGGCGAAAATGGACTTTCACCCAGGGGTGCATGGTTTTTCCCTGAGAAGTACAGCCATTCAGGATGGGCTCAGAGCCGCTGCTACTCCACATCGAAAGTAAAGGCGGGCAGTTTCTGGGTGAGGTTTCTGGGTGACCGGGCATGTCTTGCTGAGAAGAGGCACCAGATATGCTGGAGAGATTATATCTATCGGATGGCCTAGGAATGGTACAACGTTCCCCAGATTAAGCGGATCAGGTTGCAGGCGAGAGCAAGGTCTGGGCTTCTCTGCATAGGCTGCTGCCCCTGCGCCCCGACTCCAGATAAACAGAAAAAAAAATTGCTATCGTTCTATCGTTTTGTCATTTTAGATTTAAACTTTTATTGAAGTGGTTGGCATGAATATGGAACAGCGTGCATTATTCATAACACACAGCACAATGTGCCACACTTTTCAGTCACAGTTTATTTGTTTTTCTGATGATAATTTGTCACATTTTCAACAGGTGAAGAAGTGTTTTTCTGGAGAACATGAAATGCTCATAATGCTCATAACCAAGGTGCTGCACAGTTAAGCAACATGATTGATTAAGGAATGTGTTAAATGCTTAAAATGCCTTTGTGTAGAGAGTTTTTGACAAATAGGGCTGCCACAAACGATTATTTTGATAGTCGACTAATCACCGATTATTTTTGCGATTAGTCGACTAATCAGATCATCATCCATTGGACGTAAAACGTACAGCTTATTGCACCAGCAGCATCTGCTCTTATATAACTATCATTAGCTTACAGCTTTAAGTGTTTAAGGTATGTGCTAACTAAAAATAAAGACAAGATGATAGTTTGTTTCGGTGAAGTTTAATAAACTCCTTGCTATCTAAAATATAACAGGACACCGGAGTAGATTCTCCAGCATCTCACACTTCTGATAATCAGTTGTCTGCTTGACGTTTATTCAGCTGTGTAAAAACTATAACTTTAATCTCAGCCAAACAGATTTACTCAGGAACAAAAAAAATACTAAAAAAAAAAAAAAAAAGCCAAACAATAACATTTTTAAGTTATCTAAGTGACTCATATGTTTAACCTGAGTAGCGAAAGACGGCGGTGGGTTTGAAAACGATTTGCCGGGAGTCTGGTGTTCTCACGGCTCTAGTTAGCCTAGCCCCCGGCTAGCTATCGAGCTAGTGGGTAACAGACGTCTCCGAAAACGTCGAGCGCTTTTGAAAATATGCGGTGTCTTGATAAACTGAGCAGATATTTAAGGTTTCCACAGCTACATTCCCGCCTGAAAATATGTTAAACGTTTATTTTGTGACCCAGAAAGAATAATAAGAGTAATATTAAAACTAACTAGCTGCCGCCATTGTTGGAAACTGAGCTGGGCCGCGCTATGAATTCTGGGACACAGCTTCTTCTTCTTCGGGGTTTAACGGCAGCTGGCATCCTTGTACATGCAGTGCTGCCATCTTCTGTTTCAATCCGTTATTACACTCTTAAATCCTACTACATATTCCTGCGTCTTTTGTGATCTTACAAAGCTTCAAACGACGCGTCGACTATTAAATCAGTCGTCGACGATTTTGATAGTCGACGTAATCGTGACTAGTCGACTAATCGTGGCAGCCCTATTGACAAATTTAACTTGTTTCTTCATTTTAGAATAGTTAGTTGACTAAATGAAGGGGAAAAGTACGCTAAGAAATTATTCACTAGGAACATCCCTAGTTTTAGCTTTATTTTCATAACTTTTATAGCATTACTGATGAAAACCTACATGGCAATATATACTACACCAGGTAAATAAGTAATTCATACAGAATGAAATGGCAGAAAAGTCGATTTTTTTCACTACCTACAACACACATGTTTTTGTTTTTGCTTTTTTTAAAAATGTATTTATGGGTCCTGGTTAAAAAATGTTATATTATTACAGAGTAACAACCATTTTTTTCTGTAATTTTACACACCTAATATGTACAACCTGGTTCCACAGAGTCATGGTGACAGATTTCTTTAACTTACAATTTCAAAAGTAAGTTTTTCTACATGATGAAGAAAGGTTGTAGTACTTCTTTCCTTAATATGAAGATATCTGAGGAATTCGATGTATGGTTAAACTTCTGTATAAGATAAGATAAGATAAGATAACCTTTATTAGTCCCACACGTGGGAAATTTGTTTTGTCACAGCAGGAAGTGGACAGTGCAAAAGTTATGAGGCAAAAATTAGAATACAATAAGAATAAATACAGTACACAACTGTACAGAATAGAATAAAATAAAATACTATATACAGTAGAATAAAATAAAATAAATATACAATAAGATAAAAATAGAATACAAATACAAATACTATATACAACTGAGTAAAAATACAACGATGACAGAAAGGATTATTGCACTTAGTATTATACTATTTTTACTATTATATTATTTACTGACAGAAAGGACTATGACTGGTCTGATTAGGCTGTATGTGGCCCATGATGTGAAGATGTGTTTGACATTCGTGAGCTATAGACATATTGCAGTTATGTCAACGTGGACGTACACAGTGTACAGGACACCCAAGTGGGCTCAACCTTGTAGTCAGTTATCTTATCACCACGCTACATCATTCAGCTTTCTGCAGTTAAAGACACGGCCCGCCTCTGTAGTTTAAAAGTGTTTTTAAAGCATCTGTAATGGTACTTAAAAAAAAACCCAAAAAAACACCACATGTCTTATTATTACTACAATAGTGCCGCCACTGTCTTTATATGCTCTGTTTACAGATCACTCAGCTCAGAAAAGCTACCGACAGGTCCACCTGCTCCTATTTTGTAGCACATAGCCCTTAACATGGAACATGCTGGCTCTTAGAAGCTTATTGCATCAGTATCATCAGTAATAAACACTGCATACATTAAAGGCACTATGAGATTCCAAACTCTCATGAGCTCATTGAAAACTCCATTGTGCAACATGGCTCTATAAAACTTGGGTACACCATAAAGACCTCCTCATTTCTAAGATGAAACACATGCTGTAAATCCTCAACTATCTGTTTCCATTCTGCCGAGGCAACGTGACGTAACACTTGCAAAACGCGTCATACAAAAGAGGCTTGTGTTACAACAACAACAACAACAACTACTTAAATGTCTTCTTTTCAAGTTTTGCCTACAGCTATTGCAAACTGTTTTTTTCCTCCCCACAGTCTGTGTCACTTTATTCTGCATTTATATCTATTGGTTAGTACAGGGCTGCTCTAAAGTCTTGAGCCAGCCCTTATTTCTTTATATTTTGCTTCCAAGAAACCAGACTTGTAATTTTTAATGGGATCTTGAGCAATAGTTCTCCCGGCTTTCTGAAGGTCTTGCAAAGGTTTTCTTTGGACCCTACTCCTTTTCTGTTTGCTTGTTAAGCCATTTAACAACGACCTATAAATCATTCAAGCATCAAAAAGGCTTCTAACTCAAGGAATGAACCAGTTTTGTGCCTAACAGGCAACTTAGAAAAGAGCCAATTGTGAATGGCTTCTTTAGGCACTTTGTTACTAGCAGCCTGTCACCAAAGCACGAAATACCCATTTCTTTTGCTGAATCTATGAACAATGCCAAAGCTTACACATTTTGACAGGCACAGCATTGTAATGTTGTCCTAAAAGTTAATTCCTAAAGAGGAAAGCCGACAGGTGGAAGACCAAAGATAAATGGAATGGCCTTGAATATCATCTACAACAAATTAAGTGTCTAAAAGTCATGTTCTTAAGAATAATAGCAGACAATCCAGCAAAGACTTGGCAAAGGTCTTTGCTGGATGAATCCAGATATGAGATTTTTGGTTCAAAGTGTTATCAGTAAGTACAGATGAGGTCAGGAGTGGTGCAAAGGGCAATGTCTACAGCAGGGGTAGGCAACTCCAGGCTTCAAGGGCCGGTGTCCTGCAGGTTTTAGATGTGTCCGTGATCCAACACAGCTGATTTAAATGGCTAAATGACCTCCTCAACATGTCTTGAAGTTTTCCAGAAGCCTTGTAATGAACTAATCATTTGATTCAGGTGTGTTGACCCAGGGTGAGATCTAAAACCTGCAGGACACCGGCCCTCGAGGCCTGGAGATGCCTACCCCTGGTCTAAAGCAGTCTACTGCCCCTTAGTCAGTGATGTTGGAGATCTTCTCAAAACTAACGGAATTATGAACACAGGAAAGTACCATTAGGGTATAATCTGCCAAGCAGTGCCATCTCTTTCCAAATGGTACTGCATGGTATTGATTCACAGTTGGCATTTTTCAGCATGACAATGACCTCAAAAACACTATAAATGCAGTAAAAGCATACCTGGGTAGGAAATATGTACGTGTAACACTATCGGTCACAGACTATCCTTCACAAAGCCCGGACCTCAACGTTATGTGAGCAGTGTAGTGCACATATAATGTCTTAGTCATTAAGCTTTTTTATTTTGGTCAAATAAGGTAACAGAGACTTTGGCCTCATACTGGTTAATCCTCTTCATCTTCCACTGAGATGCTCAGGAGTTTAAAGTTTGAATATTAACAAAATTCATCAGAAGAGGGGATGGGTTGATACACGCAGGCAAACAGCAGTGCTGCAGTACACTCCTATGAATCAGTGTCACTGTGTCTGTACTTATAAGCAGTGAGCTAAACTGTATAGAAAAAGAATAGGGAGTGTGACCGCGTGCAAAAATGTTCACATTATAGGAGAATACTGCTGAAACTGCAGTACGGTGAGAGAGCGCGAGTGACAGAAATAAAATTTATGGGGATAAGTGTGTGTGTCTTAAAAAAAACTCGGTGAAATGCCTCATAAAACAGAAAACAGCAACAAGGCTTCCTTGTGCTGCAAAAACAGCACACCCGACAACTACAGGTGGCTGATGAAGATTACCTAACGCTAGGAACAAATGCTTTACTTTACCAAGATGTTGCTTTGAACCTGCAAAGACATTTAACAGCTGCACACATTCCCTTGAAATAAGGCAAACTATCAGGGGGGAAGGTGTGGTTGTCCACGTTCTTCCTTTAAAGAGCAACAAAGATAACGCCGCTGCCAGATGACACTGACCGAATTGCCACTGACCAAATCAATATGAGGACGTACTGGCGCACACTCACTCACGTGCTGTAACTGCTTATCTTATCACCACTTTTGTTTCCTTCACCTTTCTGCAGCTAAAGATACAGTCAGCCTCTAAAAGCTACTTTCGGCTGCTCCCACAGCCACAGGGGGTCGTCACAGCGGGTTGCTCTGCGTGTTGGATTTGACAGGTTTTTATGCTGGATGCCCTTCATGACACAACTCCAAAGGGATTCAGGTCTCCTCCCAGGATGGATCTGGGGGATCTTTTCCTTGTCAAACCAATGTTTACACTACACTAAAGATACAATGAGTCTCTGTAATCTGAAAATGATCCCTGAAGCAACTATAATATTTTACAGAATATTTTCAGCAAACTCTGAGCAAAAGTAATTAATCTTAATATTAAGACTGGGTAATTATTTTTGTTTTTCCAATTATAATTCGGGCATTCAGCAAACATAAAAACAAGATAATCATAAATGCAATAAAAATCAAGCCAAGCATGTACTGTAAACTGTAAGGCCAGAAGTACTGGGACACCCACATGTAACACAAACTGCTCAGCTGTGCCATACCTTGTAGTTCCGGTGTACAGTTTTTGTGCTGATGTTAAACAGAGAAGGACCCCACTCATTAACTTTAGCTGGCTGAGCAGCTGTCTTTCCACTTTGCAAAAAGATGTGACTGATTATATACGTTGTGACAAAGCCTGCATTCAAAGATTAAGAGGTGTGGCCCATTACTTTTGTCCATGTGTATGTTTATGTTGTTTATGCTGGATTGATCACTCTAATAGCGGTCACCCTTTAAATGGGAATGTGCTTGAGACAGCTGTGAAACGGGTTTGGTTCAACCAGAGCGATGATGTGTTGATGTAGCAGTAACCCTGCTCGGTACGAGACGAGCCAATAAAGTGAAAATATGACTTGAACGCCTCCAGGTCAGAATCCAGCCTAGACGTGACAATACAACAGCCCAGCTGATTTCTGGTTAGTCTGAGACAGCTGGATACAGACAGTGCTGAGAGCCACTCATGGGAAGGCTGGTTTGAGGTTTGATCTATATTTGCTTTTTACTGAAATTGTAAACCACTGTTACAGAGATGCTTAAAAAAAACAAAAACACAACAACACTTGTAAATTATAGACATTGTCAACTAAAACAATGCGTTTCTCCTTAATCAAGCTGTTTTCTAAAGCAATTACATTCAAAATAGATAGACCACCTTGGAACGGGCAGGTTTCACTTTCATTTACAGTTCAGCTTACTTTCCAGTGAATTGTTTTGTTGATTCTTGAGATCCTAATCATTGAGAGCTTTGACATTATCATGGTTAATCAGTCTACCGTTATTATTAGGTGATTTACAAAACTAGCAAGCGAACCTTGTGCATATATATTCAGCAGGTTTTGTATACTCTTATAGCCTGATTGATATTTGACTTTTTAAAAATCAATATTTAAAATAAACTGGAAATTGTGCATTTCTAATCACCTTTCAGTTACATCCATGCTGCTTCTAAATGCGTTACTATCTTATAACGGGTTTCTGCAGATGTTTATTTAAAGTCCAAACATGTTCTTCCATTATTTTTCTCAGCATCACAATGCAAACGAGACTCCTTTTTGTTCCTTTAAGCGTGTGGTAGGCAGACCTAACACGAACATAGTAACACAAATTAGTGAGCTCTTATCCAAACAAAATTGGAACAAACGAAAAAATTGAGATCCCATATGAGCTATCCAATTCTTCCTCTTATCAAATGGGGTTTCTTTATGAGCATGTATGTAACAGAGTTACAGTCAGTATCAGTCTCAGTCACTGATACAGCGGGGCATGATGTGACTTGTTCTTGATCGAAGCCTTGTCTAGCAAAGGGAGCGTGTTGAGTCTAATCAAGTTGGGAAATCAACATGAGCCACTGCCAGAAAGCCTGGGTATCTTGGCTCTGACAGCTTTAACTTTAAATAGCTACTCTGGCACACGACAAAGAAACTTACCTTGAAGGTCATATTGGCATCAAAAATCTATGTTAGAGTCTAATTTTAGGATGCAACTCCATAAGCAGGGGTCAGAAAGTCTATTCAAACAACGCCCTTTTTTATATGGCGAAAGTTGGACTCCATCTTCAAAACCTCCCATCTTTCTGATGCAAACTGGAGACAATTCCCACTGGAAAAAGGCGGACTGAAAAACTTTCCAGCAGTAACAAATCAAGGGGACAGAACCTGCATCCAAATGAATAACAGACATTTAGTTTCCTGACCAGCCACTCTAAGGCAAACACTGAGCTCAAGTGTGCTTGCACTGTAGTCACACAACCGTGCATGCTTTTAAAGCAATATGACAGAAATATGAAAAAGCTGGAAAGTCTTTTCCCATCCCAAAATGTTTACGTGACCCCCATTCATGAACCTGCCAGGCTGTAAAGCCCTAATCTCCCAATAATGACTGTATCATAACAAGGTCACACAAAATATAATCACCATTGTTTTCTGCAAAAGTAGAAGTTCCCAGTGTCTAATAATTCAGCTGCACTGCGCCTGTGTGTTGATGGTTAACTTTAGTTTGATTAACAAAGTAGCAGTTTATTATTATGTTAACTTCCAGGAAAGTCCGTAACCAACAGACATAAACTGATGTGAAAAGAGAGCAACTTCTGGAATTAATGTAACGTAGCTGGCTGTTACAGTAACCACAACACAGAGCTTACGCCCTAGATTTTAATATACGAAAATCACCCAACGAGCTTACTGTCATCAACTTTGGTACAGATGTTATCTGAATATACAGCTTCACCAGTCTGAACTGATAAGATGAAAAACTACCTCGTCAAAGCTAAAGAATCAAGCCCTTTTTTACTGATACAGAAGAGGCATCAAAGTCAGACAGCTACAGCAGAATCCAGTTTCCTGATGTGTGTGAGGAATCGTGAATGGAGATTTCGTGCACCTGCCCTCTCGTGGCTGCTGTTAAACAGAGGTATCGACCTCTGTTTAACAGCAGCCACGACACAAAAAAGGGATGCGAATCACAATATCACAGATAAATCTGAACCTGCTATTGTTATAGCAACACAAAACTATCAACGCCGAAATATTTCTCTTTTTTGGCATCACTGATCATCAACGGACAGAGACACTGTTGACTTTAAGTTTCCAGCTCTTATATTTCAAAGAAACCTCTCCGCATATTAATACAACATCCACACAATGTTGCCTTACCTCCTCGTCCACCGTTCCTGGAGGAGCCCCGACTCTGCGAGTCTTCCCAGCCTTCCAAGTATCTGCCCATACATCCCCCCATGGCTAACGGGCTCCAGATCGCTTTTACGGGTCTCACTGGCTAAACAGGGGCCCCATTGCGGACGAGGACGATGTACTAGGTCCGATGAGGAGGATGGTTTTCACGCACAGGGACGCAAGCCTGATATGTCATTCGTAACCGCACTGAGGGCGGCAGTTAATATTTAAATCACGTTTTGCAGGTCTATACGTTTGAGATTAGGGCTTAAAGTGCCCTCTTTGTAAATAACTTCTGCCTGCGTGTTGACACGCGCACGCAGAGTTCACGGCTCGTGGCCCGCACCAATGTTTCAAGAGTTTGAGCAATCCCCAGCATCTGCCACCAGCTCGTTGTTAGCTTCAGGATATATACAGTATGTTTCTACTGTTTAACGTAGCTGGGCTGACTTGTAAGTGTTGCTATTAACCCGTCCAGACACAGCGCACCTTTCTCGCTAACAGGCTAACAGGGCCAACACGCTAGCTACCACGGCGTAAGTAAACACAAACTTCCGCGCGCACGATATCATTTCCCCGCATCTTCCGTCTCTGACAAACGCAGCGGGTCATTACAGTCTCCCTCTGTCCGCCGTACGAAGGAGTACTTCAGTTCTTTGACGAGCTCGGTACAGTGTTTTCTTTAAATAGCCCCCCTAAAAAATTCTCCCTACTTCGCTGGTGAAAGGTGACCAGCGGCAGTCTGCTAGCGCCGCCGAACTTTTTTTCTTTACGCTTGCGCAAAAGCATCCAGCCAGGTGTTGGTTTCTATTGCGTCGGGACTTGACGCAATTATGAACGGAGGAGTCCGCAAATTAATTTGTACAGCGGAGTTATCATATAACAGATACACGTTCTTCTAATGTCAATACTCTTACTTGAAATCATACTGGTAGTAATTAATTGGAACCTCTTGAAAAGCAAAACTAGTGGAAGGGAGAGGACGTACTAGTTCTAGTATTTGTAATGCATTGTTCGGACAGTACTTGAATGCAGCATTAAAGGAAAAATAATATTGAAGATTTTCTTCCACCATTTCTATAAATATGAAAAACGTGTGGAAATAATATTATACTGGTTTTAACGGTTTTATTTTTATCAGATATAATCTAAAACCCATCGCTTTTCGCGATTCACCTAAAGTTTTCGCGCATGCGTAGTGCCAGTGAAGTAGTTACAGGGACACGATGGCTGCGGACAGTACCATGGCGCTGTCTCTGGTGGAGGAATTTGTGTCTGGACTGCAGGACAGCAAGGCCAAAGATGCAGCAAAAGGTAAAAGGCTTTCGTCGCGGTTTGCCGGTGACATTTTTCATAAGAGTAACACCGGAGAGGCTGTAGAGCTGCTCTCCGAGGATGCGCAGCGAGACGTGATGGTTAACTAGCTAACTTAGCGCCACAACATCCTGTGTAGTGTTATAACCGCAAGATAAAGAGTAAGCATTCGCCGTGAAAATATATTTGCTCATTTTGTCGATGTAAATGCACACTCTGAATGTATACATCGAGTTTGAACACATTGCCACTTCACAAGGACTCTTAATTTGATGCTACTCCGTAGTGGTTAAAGCACATGCTGGTTGCTAGCTGCTGAGTTTGTGTAAGGTAGCCTGTCAATGAACCCTGTGGCCTTACCTTTGAATTATAACCTGGTACAACTACTAGAGTTAAGAGCATGCGTGTTCTTGCATTGCTGTAGCTCATCACTTCACTTCACTAAACTTATTTGTTTGTTTGTTTGTTTGTTTGTTTTGTTCAGGTGTCAAAGATGGGAAGTTTACAGTTCTGCAGCTGGTGGAAGCACTGGGGTAAGCTGTGTTCATCGTCATGTCAGGGGAAAATATCAGCCCGAACCAGCCAGAGTTTGCAATTATATTCCTATCTAATATCAACTTCCATCTTTATTACCTTTCCTGTTAAAGGTCCAGTCTGACCAGTTCTCAGCCTCACACTCGAGCCCGAGGAGTCCTTCTGCTCTCTGAGGTTTTGCAGGAGTGCTATAGAGAGCTTACAGAGAGAGAAGGTACACCTTTCTCCTTCCATATACTGTGCCAGCATTGCACAGCTTCTTGCAAAGTGACAAATCAAAAATGCACTCAAATAACTACATTTTATATTCATATATGTCTTACGATGACGCTTATTCATGTCAAGGGGCGATCAGCACTCAGCATTTCTTCCTGTTCTTCTCCACAGTGGAAGTGCTTATTGCCTTCTATGAAAACCGTCTGAAGGATCATTATGTCGTCACACCTCCCGTCTTAAAGGGGCTAAAGGAGCTGGTTAGTCGTTCTTTGATAACATTTAGTTTCTGCTCAAATCTGCAAGTTCATTTCAGGCTGAGGGACTTTTTTTGAGAAGTTCCAGATGTGAAGGTTGTGGTTGTGGATTTCCTCTTACTGTTTTGTTAATGTACCCCCCCCCCAATTCAGACAAAGTGTACAAACCTGCCTCCTGGCTCAGCTGTGTCCATGTTGAGGTCAGTGTTCCAGGACATCCACGTACAGGTGAGACTGTCATATTGTTGTACATTTAAAGTGTTATTCTGAGGAATAATGACAGTGCTGGGTTGATTTTTACCTACATAATGTCATAGTTTTAATACTTAGTTGTGAGCTTTGTTGTCTTTGTGTTCTTTAAAATGGGAATTGAAGAGAACATGGATTTTACAAAGACCGCATGGTGTATTTTACTTAACCAAAATTATTGCCAAGATCAAGTTGTTGCTTAGAAATAACTCACCTAACATCTATAACTAATCTAGGTCACTGTACTTGGAGGGTTATGCTAATGTTAAAAATTACATTTAAGCAATTTGCAGTACACGAGTTTGCACCATTAATCAAAGAATTTATTATGATTAACCAAACAATTCACGTTTTATATTCCACATATGATGTCAACAGTTCCACTGTCTGAGTTGTTTTTTCTGACGTTAGTGGACATTTTGTGACTTTTCCTAGTTTTGCGGTGTTTGATTTTTCCGAAAGTAATGCATTTAAAACCTAATGTAGCACACTGTCGGAAACATCGTGCCACACTTGTTAGATGTTCTTGTTTCCTCTCTGTTATTGTTTTTGCTGGTAAAACTGACTCATCTAAAACCGTTCCTACTAATAACAAATGTATTTATTTCCCCTGCAGTCTCTGATGCTGTCAGAGAGAGCATGTGTTTACAGCATGCTTATCAACATCATGGAGACCAGAGAGGCGGGTAAGAGATTATGGTTTGATTCACAAAACCTCAGTTAACAGAGACAGAAAGCTCTGTGGAAGGAAGCAGGTCATGTTGAAATAACCGGTGATTTAAGAATTGAGCATGAGTTTTAAAAGTCGGACAATCTCACAGCAGTAATGGAAGGCGCTGACACGCTGTCCTCTGTTTGGCTAATATTTTAGGATAACAGCCATATGTAAAAAATGAAAATGGAGGGCTGACAGTGGAATAGTTGTGTTTAGCTACCAGCTGTTAAAATGGAAACGCTTACAGGAGGGATGGTACTGTGACCTGGGCTTTGTTCCAGAAAGCAGATTTAACAAACTTTAAATGTAAGCTCTGATTGTTTGGTTCCAGACCATGTTCACCGTGGCAACGGGCAAGACCCTCCTGTTTAATTCTGTGGATCATGTTTGATTGCGTTGTTTGTATTAACAACAGAAGAGGGGAAAAATATGATTTTTATATATATAAGTAGCAGAGATGTTTACTCATTTACACAGAATCATTTCATTATTATATATAAAAAACAGCTGTGATCTAAATAGATTTTAAATGAGTTGTAAATCTTCGTTATTCAGCTGTGACCTGACAGGTACAGCATGCAGGTTACAGCAACTGTAGATAAAACAGTTTAATTACAAACTGGTGATATTAATCCGATCCAGTAAGGCTGATTGTAGGTGATTTGTGGGGTTTAATGACTCTGTTTTAAACTATATTAAGAACACTGTCAGAGTCTTAAAAATCATTACACTCTTCTTCATCTCCAATATGATGATAATCAACATGACTAATCACAACATTCTAATCACGATTCAGACCGAGTCATCAAAGACTGATTTATCAAAGTAAACATGAATGAATCTTGCTGGGATCTCTGGCTCTGATATGAGCTTTGATATCTGCCCTCTGACTTAGGGAATGAAACGTCATACAGCTGCTTCAGGAGCAGTCAGAGTGTGTGTGTGTGTAGGTTAAATAAGAGGAAGTGAATGATTGAGAAGAAGATGCAATCATTAGAAAACTGACAAATCCCCTTAGTACCAATGTTTTTTTTTAGCTGCTGTTACTTGTTTCTTCCATTTTAATATTTTAACTTCACATAAGAAAATTAATCTTGTGGGTTTTTTTGCTCTTCATGCCAAAATAATAATCATCCCCACCTGGAGATGGTAGTAAGCTTCACCGATACACCCTCACCAGCTTTCCTAGTTTTGAGGAAGAGACGGTTGGTTGTATAGTTCCTTTATCGTGGCACTCTCACGCAAGCCATTGTTAGTCATTGTGTGAACCAGTGTTTGTCTGTTGTGTTGCAAAACTTTTTTTTCCCCACATGATGTGTCCCTGCTTCGTTTCCCCACAGAACTTAAGGGTTTGGGTGCCGACTTTGTCTTCGGTTTTGTGCAGTCCATGGACGGGGAGCGAGATCCTCGCAACCTCTTGTTGGCCTTTCAGATTGCCAAAAACCTTATTCACAGAGGCTATGAGCTCGGTGAGAACACCATAATTTCTTCTCACCGTCACCTCTTCTGTATTTCTGTGCGTCCCTGACCTGCAGCTCACCTTTTTTCTGCCACAGTGATCAAACTGTAACTCCCATTCCTTTCCTATCTGCTGTCTCAGGTAAATTCACAGAGGAACTGTTTGAAGTGACGTCCTGCTATTTCCCAATCGACTTCTCCCCAGTAAGTCCCTGTTTACTCAGCTGGTTTGGACCGAGAACTGAGTGTAGCAGACATAAATCTCATCACTGACTTCCTGTGACCTCAGACAGACTCTGTAGGAAGTTATAACGCAGCGACTGCTCGCGAAAAGCAGCTCAATGTCACAGAGCATCACAGGTCTCTCTGGAGCAAAGCAGCACATGGGTGCAAAGCTTGTTGTGTATGTGACGTAAAACATCATGTAAAGTATAAGAACGGGCATATTTAACCATGTGTATTATTAAGCATTCAAGGCCAGCATCCCTCATCAGTCTAAACTGAAGAGGAAACAGGAAACAGTGCAGGATCAGCATTAGTTTCTGAACACTTTAGACAATATATCCCAACACATCAGTCGACAGATTGGATCATTTAGAAAATCTATTATTATACATTTGCATTGATCTATATGAGCATGCTATGATAGTCATAGTTTATATTTAATAATGATTATATTTACTGATTCACTAATTAGTGACCATTTTAAACCATAACATGTTACAAAGTTTTCGTTTTCACAGCAAATTTTGATTTAGCTTTAATCTTAATCTTCTGACTAAAACATCATTTAGTTTCATTCATAATTTAGGCGTTTAAGTTTTTATCAGCTAAATGTTGTAATGTTATCATAGACTAAATCTAAAGGTGACAAAAAGTGTAAAAGTTTGCTTCTGCCACTGAGTTATTTACAACTCATTTCATTTTTATTCGTTAATGAACATGTTGATACGTTAAACTGTAGTTTTTGTCCTTGTGCATTTTTTGTGTGTGTGTGTGGGGGGGGTGTTGATGAAAGCGAATGCATCAACAACC